ACCATTGCGATCGACCAAAAAATTCAAAAACTTAGCCTTCTCTCAAAATTTAAGGTTTCACGTTTCAGGTTGCGTAGAATTCGAAAAAAGAATTTTAAAAAAATCGTCCGTTCTCCGTCCGTGCATTTTCTCCGAAACTACTGGACCGATTTTTTTCAAATTTGAATATAAAATCAGAGGTCACCCGAGGATGATCCTCCTTCATCGACATTACTATCCGCCTTTTGCTATAGACTGTAGCTCTTAAATGAATTTACCGATTTCAATGAAACTTCGCTAGAGTCATTTTCTCGACGCCCTTTAATTTTATCTATATAACACACTTCAACGAAAAGAAGCTGGAAAAAAAGTTACGAGGGATGGTAATATTTAATTCCGAATATCTCCAAAAGTATACAGTTTTTTGTCGATATTGTATATATTTTTTTAAAATTTTACGGAATTTCCTAAAAAAAAATCGTCAAAATCGGACAATTAGGAGCAAAGATATGATCTCCAGTTTTTATATGTTCTACTCCAGATGTTATATCCTTGGTTTGGTTTTAAATTTGGAATGTGTTAATGAAGTAATGCTATTTTTTTTAGCATATTGCTAATGATTATAAAAAAAAAAGTTTAGTCCAATAATTGAAATCACCTTTTATTTATTTTTCTTTGTAACTAGTAAGGCAATGTTACTTTCGATGTATAGTTCTTTGGAAATAATAAATTATTGTGAAATAATTTGCAGCGTTTTTTTTTTTTTATTACAATTACAATTTAATCATTATTATTTACGTATCACCATATCACTCAATGTGTGATAATTAATTTTAATCAAATCTATAAATATCTAAAATCGATTTAAATTTTTATTTAAAAATAAGGCATGACTTTTTTTGTGTGAAACCTCTGTAACTTTTTTTTAGTTTCGTTACTGTTCCCTCCACTCGACGTTATATTCTTGTTGAAGCTCTCGGATGATGGTGAAGGAAAGTTCAGAAACTCCATTCTTCTCGCTCAGCCCGGAGACCACATAACTTCTATTTTATAAGGTTTTCCCCTTCAACCTCCCCCCCCATAGCACAAGGACCCCATAGCAAGGACCCCATAGCAGCCGCTCAGGATGGTTGTTGAGGTCGTGGTTCAGGAGCGGCCTAATGACCAGTCGTCGCTGCAGGTTACGGCACCACTAAATATTTTACTGCCATCATCATCAGGTGTCCACCTTTGTGCTTTTAGTGCCTCGGGGGGAGGGGGAGGGGGTTAATCTAAAAGGTGGGGGGCGCCTAAGTGCCCTCAGATTGTCCTCGTCATTATTGTGCCTTCTGCTGCTGCCTAGATTGTCGCAAAAATTACTTGCCCGAAGCGAGAGCTCTTTCTTTTCTGTACAAATATTATGTATGAATGTGTATATATATATATATATATATATATATATATATATATATATATATATAACACCGTTTCATCACCGTAGCTTTACATGTTTTATAACAAATAATTTAAAATTATACTTTTTGGCTACAACTAGGCATTTTTATCTTAAAAATATCTCATAGTATCATTTAAATATCAACAATTTAAACATGAATAATATATATTTTTTTAAAAGGTATAAATGAAAAAACGCTTCAAATTATTCCACAATGGTTTATTATTTCCAAACAATTATACATCTAAAGTAACATTACCTTCCTAGTGACAAAGGAAAAATAAATAAAAGGTGATTCCAGTTATTGGACTAAACTTTTTTTTTTAATAAAAAAAAAATAGCATTACTTCAGTAACACATTCGAAATTTAAAAACCAAACAAAGGATGTAACATTTGGAGTAGAACATATTAAGAAAAACCGGAGACCATATCTTTGTTCCTAATTGTCGGATTTTTTTTTTTTTAGTTTTTAGGAAATTTCGTAAAAATATTTTAAAATCGCGATATCTCTGGTAATAGTGCTTTCATTTCGATGAAACTTCCTTCATTTTTTATGGAATTTAAATACCTTATCAAAACATCCCCAAAAAAAGTGTACACTTTTTGAGTTATTCCGAATTTAATTTTAGCATCTCTCGTAACTTTTTTCCCAGCTTCTTTTCTTTGAACTATGTAATATAGATAAATTTAAAGGACGTAGGGAAAATGACTTCAGCGAAGTTTCATTGAAATCTGTGCATTATTTTAGGAGCTACAGTCCATAGCAACGTAGGTTTTTCGGCCGTCATTTTGATAGTAAACGGCGAATAATAATGTCGATGAAGGAGGATCATCCTCGGATGACCTCTGATTTTATATCCAAATTTGAAAAAAATCGATCCAGTTATTTCGGAGAAAATGCACGGACGGTGTACGGCGGACGGACAACCAAATTTTTATTCGTTTTTCGAATTCTACGCATCCTGAAACGTGAAACCTCAAATTTTGAGAGGGGAGTAAGTTTTTTAACTTTTTGGTCGATCACAATGGTTGATTATTGAAAATAATAAACCAAAATAAAAAGTTATGTAATTATCTACTCTTATTTATCAATTATTAAATCATTATTTATCTGTTCATGCTGTTATACCATAATTAAAAATAGTGGATAGATGTATATATTTTATTTTTTTCACAAATATATAAACAACTTTATTTTAGCTATTTTTCGAACAGTGAAAGATAAAGATATATGAAGAATTTTTTACACCCTAAAATTAAATATAAGACGGAAGCTTGAAGCGAGCTAATGATACAATTGTTGAAAATTGATATTCGTTACATTAAACTATTTAAAAACGGCAAACTAGACTCAAGACTTTTCAATTTAAGACTGGATGAGAACATAGAGAGCTAAGATTGTCAAGTTTTTTACTCGTTATAATTTTTTTTAGCCACTAATTACCTTGCGGAGGATACTGGAAGAATTATGAGGCCTGGAGAAACCAAATAACTTCTCCTTCTTATCTCACCTCTCTCTAGTATCTCATTTTCTCTATTTTACATTAGACCCTCTCGATTACCTATGGGGCTCCACAAAGTTGATTATTTTAGGATTGGATAAAATTCAGCTGTGGTTAAATTGAAGTTAATAAAATTTAATTAAAGTTTAAATTTGAAATAAAATTTAATTAAAAATAATGATCATTCACTGACTCATAGGGTTTCACATAAAGAATAATGAATATATTATAATTTAAAAAAAAATTTGATTAGAAAATAATAATCACCTTTTTCACACAAATTAAATTAAATATTAATATGTGTGTATACGTTAATGTAGGCATTTTTCAATATTATGTTGCTTTCTCACTACCGGAAGGAGGGAAGCATTGTATTCGAGCGAGAGTTTAAAAAAAAATTTGTGTTCAGAATCGAAAATTTTCACTCGCGTTTTACGTTTTAGACATCAAGGATCAAATTTAATTCGGTTTCTGTCTGTCTGTAGTCAAATGGATTTGACGGGCATATCACCTACTACCGTTTATCCGATGCACGAATGAACTGTGCCTTTGACGATAACTTCTTGTAAAGGAGACCCAGTTGCTGCGGTTGAGGATGACGGTTCGGACGAAGGATGTCGGTGGGAATTCATTAAATCCTGTTGGTGGGGAGGGGAGGAGGGGACTTTTATTCTATTTGATAAGGGAACACTTTGGACGATTGCTTTTATTTTCATCTCGCTTCAATCCGACTGAGTGGGATCCGAGTCGCCATTCATCTGTTCAATCCTTCAATCCTGTCCGTATCATTCATTACGCTCATTCCTCATCGGATATCCCTCGTCCTCATCATCATCATCATCCCTGGGCTCTCTGGGTAATATCTATCTCACCTCGTCCGCCCATCCCCCCTCCTCTCCCATCCCCCCTCCCCCCAGCAATACAACAAAGTCGAATCCCTGTTTAGGAACAAATTATTCGTGTAGTTACTCCCAAACAACTTTCTTAAAAATATTTAATATGAACATTAATTTAAGAGAATCGTTTAATAAATACAATTATGAAAAGTTTTAGTGAAGGTATATTATTTTATTATTTCTGTTGTCTCAATATAGAATTATACTTACGATATCCGGAGTTATGCATGTTGCACTTTAGTTTGATTTTCACAATTTTATTGTTTACTGTTATCTTAATTATATAATTCCGTGAAAGTATACGGACGTGCATTAATGTTCTAGTAAATTATAATTAGCTGGTATTAATAAATACTGAAGGATTTGGCTACGATTAGCAAAAAATATTAAAATGTTCATCGTAATATCAAATTAGTAAATTTTCGGTTTTCTTTTCCTATATGAGATATTAGTTTTTATTTATTATTCTATTTATATAATGGGTTTATTCATATCAAAGACGGACATTATTCATTTTCAGAAAGAGTAAAAATAGTCAATTTTTATTTTATATCTTCAACTCAAACTGTTTCTGATGATTTTATTAAAGAATGTTCAAGTTGATTCATAAAAAAAAAAAAAAAAATCATCAGAATGAGTTTGAATTGAAACTATATCAGAAAAAGTGGCTTTTTAAAAATAACAGATGCCTTCTTTGATATGAAGCCATCCATATGACATATACCATAAGTGGACGAACTTTTTATCAATGAAGGCCGCAACAACTATAATTTACTGTTCATATTTTTGTTTATCACTATTTACACCCGCTCAATATACATATATTCAACTTAATTCTAATGATTTTTAAATTTTCGTAACCTAGAGCTAGATTAGTAAATATCGAACCAAAACGTTTGTAGGCCGCAGCTACGTAACGGAGACCACATGCGGCTTATAGACGTCCCCAACATATGTTGTATAATATGGGTGGGTCAAACTAAATCCTCGATGTACTTTAGCGTTTTTTTTTCACTTGGGAACACGGATTGTATTTAGATCGGGAAGAAGCAGAAGCCACTATATAACCTGAGAAACCTGTTAAGATATAAGCTATAACCTGGAGGACAAGGCTCAGATGTAGATACAGATAACCTATAGATACCCGATTTGTATTGACCTATTGGTGTTGTTGATGTTGATGCTAGGGCGATGGTGGCGCAGAGCTCGGAGGTGTCGATGGCTCCCAAGGCAGGCTCCCAGCAGCCTGGAGCGGTCCAAGCCAAGCAGGTCAGTCATCAAGATTGTCTACACCTTGTGTCCACGTTTCGGCCTAACCTTCAGTCCTTCATCAAGGCTGGAGAAAGGCTAAATTGTAACCAAACAAAACATATTACAGATATTTAATGTAGAAAATGACAAGATATGAAAAACCTACTTTTTAATTGAAGATCCTTTTTTTTCTCATATCTTGTTATTTTTTTGCTAATATGTTTTGTTTTTTATTCCTAAAAAGACCTGAACGTTAGGCCGAAACGTGGCACAAGCATTTTATTTTCAACTATAATCTCCAACCATTTCCATATCTAATTTATCCTTACATAGGTATGAGTCATTCCTTGTCAATCCAACACAAGGTCAGAATCTTCCCATCTCGGATTTTGTTTTTGTTTTTAAATTTGGTACTGTTGTACTATTTTTAGAGACATTTAGAAATATGAAATTTTACTGAAATAAGTCAACTAGTATTTTGACCGTTACCTACCAGCAACTCGACGCACATTGGACCTAGCTGGATCTTTTTGGTCTTAGTTCTGTAACTGTAACGTTATTTTTCATCAGATTTTCTGGTTTCTTTGTTTTATAGGATCATTACTAAATACATTCCATTATCTGTGCAACGAATATAAATAGTATCAGGAATAATATATGATTATATTAAAAATTATTGAATTTTATAATAAAACATCTCACGTTATCTACCACAGTGTCATTCATTTTTGAATTTTCATTTATTATTCCTGATAATATTTATATTCATTGCAAAGGTAATGGAGTATATTTAGTAATGATGCTATAAAACAAGGAAACAAGAAAATCTGATGAAAAATAACAGTTACAGAATTATGACCAAAAAGATCGAGTTTGGGATCACTGTGCGTCGCGTTGCTAGTAGAAAAAATCCGAAGCAATAGAAATTTTTATTTTTGCTTCTAAAGAGAATATATATATATATATATAAGTTATAATATAAGTTATAATATATATAAGTTATAGTATATATAAGTTATAATATCCTATTTCATGTGTATATATATATATATATATATATATACACATGAAATAGGATATTATAACTTATGCTTTTTTTTAATCTCCATAAATTCTTTAAAATATTTTTATGCCATTTTAAAAAACTGCAGGAAGACAAATGTCTCTTAAAAAATTGCGATAGAATAAGTTTATTAAGTTCATAATCGCTAATAAACTTTCATGTCCCCTGAGGGCACAGACGAGGGCAATTTGGCAGCTGTAAAGAACTCATAAATGGACTCACAGGCAGAAAATAGTAATATTAAAAATTGCCGTAGAATATTTCGTAACTAACATATTATAATTTATGTACTCTCATATGAAATTAAAATTTTAAATTAGACTTTGAAAATAAAAACATAATTATTAACTTGTGCAATGCTGCATATCATAGGAAAGATTATTTAATATGCTGTAAAATGATATCGGTCCCAGACCTCTAGCTGAATTATGAAAGGTTCCACTGCTCTTTTCAATTTTAAAATTCGAAGTTTTTGCCTCGACTTCCAAACGATAGCCCTGAGGATGATAAATATGTCAGCTATAACTATAAAAATATCTTGACTGAAATTCTCCCCAAAAAAATTTCATCCTTATAATTGATCAGTAAACTACTTACCCATATTTAAAATTTTCTGTTTTCAAACCATTTATGAGTCATTTCTTTATCGCTTTCTACTTAAAAGCGAGTTGACTCATCATATTTTTCTAAGTCACTACAAATAGTAAAACTGTTACGAGTTTCAAGAAAATCTGAGATGGTGACTATATTTTGAATTGACATGGAATGATCCATATTTATATTTAAAAAATCAATTTAACTTTCTTTTTTTTGTGTTATTTCAAAATTTTATGTTATTGTTGTTTGCTGCTGTATGGTGTTATTGTGGCCCTATTGTTCACCTATTTTTTTAACATATCTTTGATAATTACAAATGTACATTTATATACTAATCATTTACTGTAAAAGGTTTTATGCCCACTTTAATGTCAATTGATAGATGATTTTTTTGTTCTATTGCACATAGATACACCTGTACATATATATCTTTTGTAATAGATTTTCTATAAATTAGCATTATTTTGATTTTCTCCAGTTTTATTAAAACTATTGCTGGAATCTCATTCATTTGGAAAGGCTGGCATTCCATGAGTCATCGGCATTCAGCACTCACAAATTCCTGTGTTCACTGAATTGCTTGCTGCACTCATTAGAAAGTCATGAGTAACGAAAATGTTTCGTGTACACCATAATTTGTTGATAAAATTCTAAACTGTCTTTATAGTTGTTTAATTTTACTATATTAAATAAAATTGTATTTTATACAATAATTATTGACCTATATTATACATTTTTATAAAATTAAAAAGAAATGTGAAATAGTGAGTTGTAAAATAAAAAGTTATGCATTGTTTTTTTTTATTTTTTAGGTTTTCCTAGCTTTTTAAATAATAATAATTAATTTTTAAAAAATTGGTCCTGAAACCTGATCGTGACTTTAGATTATGTGCCTTTGTTAGTAATGAGAAAGGTTGTGTGTGTGTGATATAGTTTACTGTATGAGGCTCAAGAATGAGAGCTCAAGTACGAGCGTTATATAAAAATTAAATAATAACAACATGTCAATTCATAATTAATAAAATGCATTTCCCAAACTTATTTTATTTTATTATTATTTTAGTTTTAATAACAATACTCCTTCATTTAATAATGGTATGAAATTGAGGGCTGATAGTTACGACTCTTTCAATTTTATACCATTATTAAAATTATTGGACTATCAGTTATTAAAGCTAAATAAATTTGGGAAATGCATTTTAATTATTAGTTATACCTTTATTTCAAGTCAGAGGATTCATTGTTTTTTCAAACTTTTGTTGATCTATTTTTAAAATTTGCAATCTTAATAAATGGTAGCTTAGATTTAAGTGATACAAAACATAGACGTAAAAATGCAAGCATAGTTTATTGAGCAAATTTTAAACCTGCCTCGAGGATTTTCAGCCGGTTAAACCAAACCAACTGATATGTTATATTCTTAGTCGGTAAATATGAAAAATGAACTTTTGCTCAACCGATGCAATGCAAAATAGCACGTGAGTCATCATTGGGATCAATTTAAACGATTTTTTTCTCCTAAGTTTTGTCGGAAATTTAATAATATTATAAAAATAGGCTGAACAAGTTGTTTACTATTGTTGTCTCTGAAACGTAAAACCATTTTTTTTTTCTATTATAAGAAACATCAACTAAACAAAAACTAAGGCTATTCTCATTAGTTCCCTTCCTTACTCTCCCCTGTTTTACCTCAATAACCGCCCCCAACAATCCATTTTTCACAACAGTCAAAAATCTAGGAGTCACCTTTCCTGAAATAACCATATTTCCCAGATAACCCGAAAATCCATTACGGTCCTTAAACAACTCCTAAGATTCCGTGATTGTACTTCTCAAAAACCAGACAGCTCATTGTAACCTTGCTTGGTTACTATGAAGGACTGTCTGGAAGACTGGAGGTGAAATTGAAGAGACTTATGAACTGTTTTATAAGATTCATTTTTAAAATTCCCAGGCGTTATCATGTTTCCGACTGGTAAACCGAATTGAAGTTGCTCTATCTTGCTTACCGAAAAGAATTCTTTATCGGTGTCTTCCTTTTCCAGGCCCTAAGAACCAAAAATCCTCCCTACATCATAGAACTCCTCACTCTACGTTCCTCTATCCACTCTCTTAATATCAGATCTCAACCTATTAATTTCTATATCCCTTCTCGTAAAACTACATCATTCGTCATTCGTACTGCGTCCATCCAATATGGCAATCCTCAACCTTAAATTTCTTCAAACAACTCTTATTCCACCACCTACTTCATTTACAAACTTCCGTTTCCGTGTAATACTTATCTATTTCTGTAATTACAACTTCTCACTAACAATTAATCGACAAGTCCCATTTGATTTTATTTATTTACTTTTCCTTTGTATATATGTAAACCATATAAAATGTATTAGCGTTGAATTGTTGACTATTGTTATTCATGTATGACTGCGAAAGCAATTGAAATTAACATTCAAATGACCTCTTAGTATTCTGTCAAACCAGACTAAAGGACCAATGTTTTATACCATGTTATTATTATTCTTAGGGGACTTGAGTCTCAGTATAAAATTATTTTTTCATTTTATCTTTTTAAAGGACAGATATGTGCGTTCGCTTTGAGGTTCTGTAATCTACCTGATTTAAGGTATTACAATCTACAAAAATGTGTCAATCGAAAAAAATCGTGACAACTCTAACGTAAAAAACATAAGTGATTGTTAGGTATAAAGGGTATTGGGTTGTGTACTTGGTAGCAAAGTGATAATATGTATCTAGAAAAAAAAATTATGGTACTCATAAAATATTTTTATTTCATCAAACAATCATGTTTACATATTATGTTACACATTTAGTTCAAATATATATCGTAACTCCTGATCTTAGCGATATATTTCCAAAATCTCTTTGGTAGGAGTATATTAAAATTTAAAAAAATTGTTGTATCCACTCATACGACTTTCTTGCCGAATTTAGACAAATTTATATAACCAATATTTTCAATAAAAAAATTGAATTAGAGTAATTTTCCTAGAAACCTGTCAGAGAAATGATAGGAGTATGATTTCTTAAAATTTTGTAACTAAAAATAGCCCAATTCAAACTTTTAAGTTTCGTCGGAAATTTAATAATATTTAAAAAAATATGCTGAAAACGTGGGGCTCTGAAACGTAAAGACTCTTTGAAAACCGCACATTGGAAATTTAAGCTGATCGCAATACTTATCTTACTCATATTTTTACTAGCAAAGGTAGGAAAGTGAAAATTTGCACCTCTTTTAAAAAAATAAAATAAAAAACCTATGATGTGTGCTTTAGACCAATAGCGGATCCAGGATTTAATTTTGGGGGGGCTTCAGCCCGGAAGCTGTTTTTTTCAT